AGTGCCACGTGTCAGCGTCTCATTGGCCAAGCACGCGGTGAATTTATTACGCGCCAAGTGAGGCGCTATGAGTTGCAACGCCTCAAATTAGCTGTGGACACGTGTCAGCCTCTGTGTGGTCACGCAGGCGGTCAATTAATGAGGCGCTATGAGTTGCAACGCCTCAAATTAGCTGTGGACACGTGTCAGCCTGTGTGTGGTCACGCTCTGGGCCATAGCGCCTCAAATTTATATATATTTTTTTTCGTTTTTAATTTTTTTTCACATTATATTACCTCTTTTTAAAAGTTATAATTTTTCAAAAATTTTAATTCTTTTTTATTTTTTATCAGACATTTTTTTATAAATTTTTTTTCATATTTTATATTTATAAAATATAATATATATACTTTACAAAAACACCACGTGAGGCGCTGTGAGCCCAACCGTCTCAGAGGCGCCCTAGGCCACAACGCCTCATTTTTTAAATTTTTTTTTCATTTTTTAATTTATTTCACATTATATTAGTTCATTTTTTAACTTTATATTTTTAAAAATTTCTATTGTTTTTTTCTTTTTTATCAGACATTTTTTATAAAATTAATTTTCATTTTTTATATTTATAAAATATTAAATATGGTTTTTTAAATAGACTCCTGGGAGGCGTTATCAGCCATAGCGCCCAATTTTTTAATTTGTTTTTTTTGTTTTTAAATTTATTTCAGATTATTTTAAGCCGACTTGAGGCGCTTTAGCCTATAGCGCCTCTATAAAAGTCTCCACCAACTACAGCGACTCGTTTAATATGGCGTTCATGGCTTATATTGAAACCCAAATTTGCCACGTGTCATGGGTGTCGCTGTGGCCCATAGCGACACCCAGTAAAACAGCCCCAAAGATGTAAAATGTTTCAAAACAGCCCCATTGTGGTAATAAGTTTCTAAAACTACACTTAGCCAATTGAATAACATGTTTCATGGGGTCTAAATATTTTAGTCATTTCAATTCATACAAAATATTTCTAACTTTTATCACGTGAAAAGGAACAGCTTTTGCAGTGGTACAAATTTCAAGCAAGGGGAACCTAACTATACAGAGAGGTAGCTAAGCAGTAATTGATTTTTTTTTTTCCTCTGATGGCCATGTATGATTTGTGGCTATAATTTCTCAATTATTATATCAATTTTTCTGCATGCATAGCAACTATTATGATTTATCTGCAAAGCTTTCTGGTTCCAACTAGTGTAGTCTTAAACTCCTAAATGAACTAGTAAATCAGCTATATTTGTCTCATCTTTATTAAGTCCCGTACCGGACAAACACCAAACACATTTGCACAAGCCAACAATAAAAGATAATCAACTGCACTGTTATAAATCATACCTTTCTCGGCCTTTTGGCTAAGATCAAGTGTAGTATCTGTTCTTATCAGTTTAATATCTGATACGTGAGTCATTGACTCACATGATATTAAATTTATTTTTTCAGGGAGAGGATCCTTCATAGTAGCTTGCTACTGGGATTCTCATGTGTTGCCCATGCCTTACACTACAGGAGGGGCTTGGCACATCCCACCCAAGTCAGTTTCAATGTTATAATTATTATTAATGTTTTATTTACACTAATCTTCAATATTTGATCAGTTTTAATGTTTTATTTACTCTATAGCAGTTTCAATGGTGATATTATAAGCTTGTTGCATCCCACCCAACTTAGTTTCATCGTCTTAAAGATTTACAATCATAGTATTGTCTTGTTTTTAAGTAATATTATAGTTAACTCAAAGACTTAATCATCATAGTATTGTCTTGTTTTTAAGTAATATTAATCATCATAGTATTGTCTTATTTTTAAGTAATATTATAGTTAACTCAAAGACTTAATCATAAGAGTAATAGAGCCTATAATATTAATTGTTTTGTACCTTGCCAGTGTACCGTTAATAGTGCCTATAATATTAATTGTTTTGTACCTTCTGTTCTATTAAAAATGGTTTGTTTGATTTTATTTATGTGATAGGTTGATAAGAACTAAGAAGAGATGTTGACACAATATGAGGATTATCTTTTTCTATTCAAATATTCAGATTTTGAATTTTATCAGCTAGGGATTTTTTAAAAGAATAATGGCTGCTACATTTTATTTCTCTGAAAGAATCGTACAAAGGTTAATTCTCTTTTTGCAGTGTATTTCTCATCATGATATTACCCTATTTTTAGGAATTAGTTTTTGTGGAGGGATATATCCCACTTTTCCATGTTTGGGTTTTTTCCTTGACTTATCATAGGTTCTCTTATTCTTCTTTCAGTGTTCAAAATTGGATTTCTAATTTGCCTTAAAACTATAGATCCAAGGAAGTTAATTGATCATCTTGTCTAGCATGTTAAATTTTTCTGGCAACTGAGTCAAATTTTACTGATCTCAAAGATGATTTGTGCATAATGTGATATTTCATTTTCATTCTGGGTTCCAGATTCAATCAGGATGTCATTATCTTTTATGGTAACAATTTGCTTACTTTTCTCGGTGCAAATTGAAATTTAAGATTGTTGTTCTAATATAGCCTTATATATTCTTGATCTTGATAGGTTGAAATTACCAAATACTTCAGCGTAATTATCAGTTTTGGCAATAATTCTTCCACACAATGCCTTTAATGAAAAAACTTCCTGCTGGTAATATTAAAATAACATAATTATGGGTCTGTTTGTTTAAACTTAAAAACAAGTGCTTTTAAAAAACAATTATTTAAGAAGTAGATAAAAGTTGCTTCTTAAAATAAGCAAAAAAACTGTATTTTAAAAAAAGGATGTTTAGACAAACACATGAAATTTTTTTTTCAAAAAAAAGTATTCATTTTATCAAAAAGAAACCCTTCTAGAGAAAAAAAAAAATTAAAACAAACAAACCCTATATTTGATAGGTTCTCCAGGATATCAGTTCTTCAATGACAATACAGATTGTATGAGCATTAATTTTGTCTCCTCTCTTATATTGCAAGTACCATGTCTTATGCATTAGTGATTATAAAGTATGGGGTTTCAATGGCAAAGCCAGGGCTCTGAAAATTGGAATGATAGAATTGTAGTAGTTTTAATATTAATCAAATGATATAGTTAAAACAGCATTATTAACCAAAACAAATACCGTTTGGACATTATTAGATTTTCCTTATCTGATCAAAATCTTTGGATACTTTACTGATACATATCCATGAAGTATCTAAGTCTTTAAAAAACAACTGAAAATTCAGACCAGCTACATATGAGGCATAGAAACGTGTATAATATAAAAATATAGAAACATTGTCCCTTGATGAATTTAAAAAAAAAAGAGAGAGAGGGATTTGTAAGCATCGTCCAAGAAATATATTTTTAATTTGGATTTGCAGAATTATAATTATATATTTATTATGTTTGACAGATTTTTACATACATCTAGATATGTATCTTACACTATCCTGTCCTATTTAGTTTAGAATAATCGCATCACCTAGTAGTTGATTGTGAATAATTGTATGGAAAGGCGGTCGACCAATGCGAACCTTGAAAAATTATATTGTTTCTATACCTCCATATCGACTAAGTGGCCATGGCCAACTTGACAGCCTCAGAATGCATAATGATGTCTTTGAACCTTATAATGCTTTCTGAGCTGGTGAATAGATGAGGTGGAGTATATCCTAACCGAAACTAGATCTTACGGGAATGTGGGCAATCTCAAAGTGCATGAAGGATTGTTTCTTGCCTGCCTGAACAACGTGCACAAAGTTCAATCTCTTCCAGCCGTCTTGAGTGGTAAAACATGTTTGTAGGTAAGGCTGAATGCAATCCTAACCAAAGAAAAATTTTCACTTTTTCTAAAATGTGTAGCTACCGCACTTTCTTCCAAATAGGATTGTTCAATCCGGTGCCATCTGCACTAAGAAATCTGAATCCGATGCAGCTGAAAATAACATCCCGAAGGGTCTCCCATCCAAGTGAATGAGTCTACCCCAACTCTAGATGAAGGTATATCAAGTTGTTGAAAAAACACCAGCCACTCATTCAAGATAGTAGTGCGAAGGAAGCCAAAATCCCATGTTCCAAGTTGTCAACAATCTGCCACTGTAGCAGCAGAGTCATTGATGTGGATCACTAGAACCTGAGTTCCGAGTTTACCCATTCCAGACTAGTTGTCAAACCACAAGATGAGTGACCGGATCCAAACTTTGGACGAAACCCCTCACGGATGAAAGGAAGCGCCTTAACTAACTCCTTTAAACTGGCAAGGCGCTTGACTTACTGCATGCATGGAGAATCGATTCACCATTCAAATATTTGGCACAAACAAAACTAACCCAAGATTTATAGTGGAGGTGGATGAGATCCCATATCAACTTTCCAAGAAACGAGATATTCATATGTCGAGTCTCTCGTATCAAATAAAAGAAAATTACTTTTTACAATTTTATTATTATTAAATATATATCATTTTTTTTCTTTATAAAGTTATCTCTAATGTCATAAAAACTTCTTACTTCATGAGCTTTTGGCACACCACCTCATTCTATTGTTTGCAAAATGAAAACATTTTTTCTTTCATTACCCACACTTGCTTACCCTTGTTGGTCTCCAATCAGCTGTTGCTTTATTTTATTTTATTTTTTACTACCAAATACCAATTGATAGAATTAAACCCAGCCATAGCGCGAGATTCATGTTCAACAGACAACACCTATTAAACATCTTCTGAGATTCATGTTTGCCCTTTTTATTTTCCTTGGATTTATATGTTGTGTGGCTTTCGTTGTTCTTCAGTTTATATGATATGTGATTGAATTTGTTACTGGACATGGGATGTAAGGTTTGTAAACGATCAAGTGTCCTTGGATCATGTCCACAGAATGAAATGAAAATCTTTTTCAGTTAAATCTATTCATTTTAGCTGAGAGTGTTGTTCATATTAGATTTTAATGTGGTTCTTTAATATAAAAACAAAATAAAAAAGGATCAAGTATTGGGAATGGAACATATAAAATTGGGCCTCTGATGAACTGAGTTTCAATAAAATATTTTAGGGCAGTGTGGAAATGAAACTGGGCCGGGATGATGTGATGAGAGCTCGTGAAGGAGAATTTTGTAACATTAGAAATATTTTTTGAATATATTTTTAAGAAAAATATGAAGGGTGTGTTTAGTGAAAAAAAGGGGGAAAACAATCTGGGCTTTTTCTCGTGCACCCATCCTATTGTCCCGTCCACTTCTACTCCTAACCTTCATACATTTTTTCATCATGTCAAATATGAATGTAATATTTATTTTGATTAATGTTAACGTGGTAAAATGACTGTTTTTATATTGTTTTAAAGATTTATTTGATATCATAAACTTTTAGTAACCAAATTGATAGTGATTTTAAATTTCAAGATACTAAATATAGAAATTTAATATTTTACAAATGAATCATAATAATGTAGTTGTTAAAATAAATATTAATAAAGATCAAAAGTATTTAAGATTATCATGCATAAATATATTACAATTATAAAAATTATATATTTTACAAATATCTATATCTATTTTTTCACTTTATAAAATTTTATGAGGGAATGATACATCTTCTTTTTGAGTTATGAAATATCATTATACCTTGTTTGGATGGAAAATTTATAAAGAATTTGACATTCAAGCATTTGTAAAATTATTTGAAATAGTAGAATTTTAAATTCTCTAAAAAAAAGTAAAAAATTTTAAAAAATTTATATTTTTTTATTTCACTTATATATTTTATCTTATCTCTTCATGCTTTATTCAAAAATATTTTTATAATTATTAAAAATTATCTAATATTAATTTTTAAAATTATTAAATATTTAAAAATTAACTAAGATTTATTTTTATAAAATTTAATTTAAAAATATCAACATATAAATATATTTTTAAAATTAATTTTACCATGGTGGAATTAAATTATCATATCCAACTCAACAATTTAAAATCTTTTTCAAATAAAATATTTTAAGAATGATAGAAATTGAAATCAAAGTAATTCAAATACCAAGAATTTAAAATTTATTGAATTTATTAAATTTCTCATTCAAACACACCATTAATTTTAAACAGAAGTTTACAAAGAGATTTATATATAATTTACTAATAAAAAAATCTTAAATTCGAATTCAAGTAACCGTTGTTAATGTAAGTAGAAGATTCTTATTTTTATTCACACTGATGTGAAATCTAGTTATGTGTTATAACACAGTGTGTTTTTTTTTCACTTGAACAACATTGAACAAAATTTTTCCCACTATTCAAGAAAAAAAATGTAGAAGAAAAATGGATGGACTTGGAAGCAATCATAAAACTAACACATATAACTAAGGAAAGGAATTACACTTTTAAAAAAGTAGCCCATTATCAAATGACTAAATAGGTTCTAAGTTGGTCGAGTTAAATTTTAAATAAATTTGTTATTTGATACTATCAAAATTTAATGGATTGAATTAAAATAAGTTTGTGCATTTTTTTTAAATTCAATTCAATCATCAACGAAATAGATAAAATTAAGTCAATTAGATTAATATAATTAAATTTATTTATTTACTAGTAAGATCAAGACACTTTGTATTTCTATATTTTATTTAATAATATTTAAAAATTGTAAATATTTATTAGATAAATTGGAGTTGTACTTGATCCTCAAACTTCGATATCTCAAGTTTGAATCTTATATTTGTAAGAATAGTTAATTTTTAATATTATTTTTTAGGTTTAAATATGTTTAAACTCCCTCCAATTAGATTAGTTTTAAGATTATTACTTATTAATTTTTTTGTTTTAATTACCTAACAATTTTTTTTCTTCAATTTAATACTTAACATTAGTCTCCCTCTCTTAAGTAATGATATGGCTGACAGGCTGTCACGTCATTGGCAACATTAGATTTTAATTTTTTTAATAAAAAAAATTATTTGGCGCGGTGACCTCAGCTCACACCACCACCATGCACTCTACACCTCTAGAAACACCTTCTTCATCACGCCGCGGATCCTCATGGTCGATCTCTTGACGAATAAGCTACTGACCTCGAAGATCACCAAGATCTTCATCCTTAGCGAACCCTCTCCCACACACTCTCCGATAGCGTCCTTCTGTAATGCTTGGGGCGAGCCAGAATCTCCGACAACAACTCGTCGACCAGATAGAAGAGCAGCGGCATTATTTAAAAATATTTAAGTCTATTTTTTATTATGTAAAAATTAAAGAATAAAATTATTTAAAAATGTATACACCAAATCAAACTATTCTCTTTATATATATTATAGATTATAGAAAGTTAAATATCTCTTAAAAAATATAAATTATTTGATATATTATTATAAATATATTGTTATCAACCAATAAAATAAATAATGATACAAATTAAATTCGATCTAAAATAAATTTCTTGATTTGTTGTATTATTATTGACTCAAATAACCAACATTAATATAAAATAAAATTTATAAAATTTAAAATATATGTTATATTTTTACAATGTTATTAATCCAAAAATATAATACTTGTTATTGAATAAGAATGACAACAAAATATTATTCTAAACAAATGATCATACTAACTTATTATTATTATTATTATTATTATTATTATTATTATTTTATATATGACTGAATCAGGTTGAATAACAGATTAAAAACATAAAATTTGTTACCTTATTCAAATAAAATAGGATTAAGTTAAGTCTAACCTAAACACTTAAAAAATATATATATATTATAATATCATCTAAATTTATTGAATTGATTTTCTTCTGTTTGAATTCGCAAATTACATATATCAGCTTATAGCTCAAGAGCAAATTAAGTTGGGAATTGTGAGATCCTAAAACTAGGAAAAAGGAAAGTGTCTCTAGGTGTTGGATTTTATGTTGGCGCAACCAATATGATGTTAAGTAAGTGGGCTAATGCCTAATGTTAAAAAAAGGAGAAGAGGAAGAGAAAACTTACCCACACATGCGTTCACGTTAATTACATTTTGGATCCAGTTTCCCACCACTGAAATAAAGGGATTTCAAAGTGAATAAGCAATAAACATCAATGATTCTATAGGCCTACCAAATAAGCATCAATGAACACACACAAAGCCAAAATACCATATCATTCATTAACTCCAACCAGTTTGAGTGCTAAATATTTTTTTCATCTCTCTTTTTTGCTTTCCTCCCTTTTTCATTTGAGCTGGCTAATTTGTCTTCTTTTCATTTTTTTAATTGTACATTTTTTATTGAAAATTTTGGAACAAGCTAATTTGTTTCGATATTTCAAAGTCCTAATACCTTGTAACAAAAATATATAATAATTAACAACAGCTGAGCCCTTGGATTGATTAACACAAAATTATTTCATTTTAATTAATGATTGTGTTTGAATCTCCACTTAGAAAAATACTTTCGTCACTCATAATAGACCCATCCACTCAGACATGTTTTTTCTTTAATAAAAAAAATTGCATGTAGTATATACCAAGAAAAAAAAACATAAAGTAACATTATAAGGATAACTTTTTAATAGAAATTCACCGACAAAAATCAAATATATTGAATACTTTCCTGAATATTTTAATTTCACACACTATTTTTGCCCTACTTGTGAATTCTTTGCCATTTCTAATTTGTTATCTCCAAATTCCGCCCTATAATAACTTAGAAATACCGCGTCACAAAACTAGAATTTGAAAATACTCGGTTTGCTATATATACCAACTAGAACTATAATTTATTTATCAAAAAATTATCCAAAAAAAAACTAGAAATAGAATTTTGAAAATATTTTGTTTGATATATATATACCAAAGTAGAACTGTAGAAGCATAAACCACTGTAATGATTAACAGGGTCAGTGTATGATCAAGTATTAATCATTAGTTGCGTGACTAAATTTTTTGTAATGATTAATAGTTTTTATTTCCTTGCGATTACAAACTTTGAGTGTAATTTTATTTAATAATATTTCGCTTGTTACAATAAATTTTATTGAGATGGGTTTAATGTTACACGTTTTAACTGAGTTTTGTTATATCACTTATTTGGTTGACCAGTGTGAGGTCTGGATTATACTAATTTCTTCCTAAAGAAAATAATTTTTAGATATTTCATATGTATCTTATAATAAAGTAATGCTATGTTAACTAATGCAACACTATCAGTCACTTTAAAAGAATATAATATTGTGTAAACGAATTTAATAGCGCCAAAGTTAATTTGCTTTTTTTAATTATATTGTATTTTTTTTAACTTATATTGAAGTATTGAATATTGATCATTTGATCTTTTTAAATACTTTGATTGCATTTAGAATACCTGTTTCTTGTTAGATGAGTTTAAAAGGGAGAATATAATTCGACACATGATTAAAATAATAAAATATTTTAATTTTCTAAAAAAAGGTGAAACCAACTAAAATGGGACAAGATATTTTATTAAATATTTTTTAATGAAAATTATCAATATTTATCTTTATAACTCTTTCATCGCATATCTAACTAAAAAAATAAAATTCTTGTTATAATCTTTTCTCGTCTGGCACTGTTTGTTGTTCTTTTTCCTTCTCCTTACATTGTTCGTTGCTCCCATCGTATACAAGGACAAAACAAAAAAAAATTTCTTTTCTTTTGTCGTGTTATTTGCATTATTGAAATTTCTGTACTTTGCTATTTGCATCATATAAATTACTCATGGAATGAGAGGATCGAGCAGAATTTGTTCATAGGGTGCTTATGGGTTGAAACATATATTACTACAAAGTTTTATTTTATTTTATGATATTTTGTTTTATTTCCTATGATATTGAAACTTTATGTTTTATTTTATTTTTGGACATGAGAACAATATC